TGGCGTATGACCACAAAGGTGGTCTCCCAGGCCACAGTGTCCCTCAAAAGGGAGGAAATAAGGTGTGTGCCAAAAATCGGAGCAATCAGAGGTAATTAAATGGTCCCGAACTGAGGCGCACGGCCGACGGCTCCAAAAAATCAGAAACCGGGTTCTAAATGGGAAAAATGGCCTACGACCACAAAACGTAGCCTGCGGCCACTGAGAGATGATCTACGAGACCTCTCTCTCCCTTCGGGAAGAGAAAATAGAGAAAACAGATCCTGGTTCGCAAACCGAGACAAGGCACGAAAGAGTCCGGAAGTCCGGAGGTAAGGCTTGCAGCCGGGACCCTGAAACTTCTGAATGAGCACAATATGCAATATCACCGAGCGCTCAATCAGTGACGTCTGAGTCTTAAGGTTGGTAAAAAATGGGGTGTCTACAGACCTGTAGTACCAGTGGCTGCCTCAATTTGGAATAGTTTTGCTCTTCCAAAAGTGCAATTCTTTGGGTGGCTGGCTTGGCTTGGTAAGGTTAAAAATTTTGGTTTCCTTCATAGAATTGGAATCCTAGCAGGGAATGCAAATCTTGATTGTGTGTTCTGTCATAATGAGGTTGAAACAGTGGAACATATTTTACTTTTGTGTCCTTTTGTTTGGTTGCTTTGGTCCAACATTATACAATGGTGGGGTTTGTAATGGGTATTACTAGGTTCAGTGAATGGATTGTTACAATGGTGGTCTGGTTGTAGAATGAAGAAGCTGGAGAAGAAAATTTGGATGGCTTTACCTGTGGTTATTCTCTTGTCTACTTAGAAACATAGAAATGATTGTGTTTTTAATGGTTCTCAACCAAATTTGAAAAATCTATGTGAAATAGTGAAAGTTAGAGTAGCTATGTGGCTCAAAGCATTGCCAATTCATGTGGAGTTTTCTATAAATGATTTAGTCTTAATCTGCAATAGGAGAAATATTGTATCAGAAATGATGGTTGAATGCTATGGATCAAGTCTGGTGTCCTGCTACAGATGTTCTGTTTAGTTGTTTTGTTTTTTTTTTTTTTTTTGATCGGCAAATAAAATCTTTATTGATGAAAGTATGCAAAAAAGATACAGGACATCAATAAAGAGGAGCTTGGAGCTAACAGGAGCTCCAAGCGCCAGTTGGTGAGAAACCAACAGCAAAACAAAACAGAAACAAAAAAGAAGGATAGCAGAATAACAAACTTCACCCAAGCTACATAGCAGGGTAGCACTACAGACTACAACATCACTATGAACTTCACACAAACTTAAGGAACAAAACCACTGCTGCTACCAATCCGCTCGACTTAAAAATCTGGACAGCAACTAACCGTAAGGAGCAGAACCAATGACTACAGCACTGCCAAGCAACACACAAGATTGCATAAAAGAGAGCAGAGAATCAGACTGCAGATCAGACTACACAACAATCAAGTTGCACAACAGATCAAACCTGCAGCAGCAGCAGCAGCAAAACCACTAACAGCAACACTGCAGAGGCGTTCACAGACCAAAATGATTTTACCAAAACAGAACTGACATTAGAAGCAGTCCCTAGCAACACGAAATAGGACTGTTCAGTGGCACCCACAATGTAAATGTATAGAAAAGATGAGTTGCTACGATTGCCAGTGAAGGTGAAGTCTGATGATGATCTAGCAGCAGCTGCTGCTGAAGCTGCTGATGGAAGGCCAGGCTACTGCAAGAGATAGGTTTTATCATGCATTAGCAGGAGGCCAATTCTGAATATAAAGAGTTATGAAACACTTTTCCTAGTTTGAAGAATTATATACAAATAAATTGATCGTTTCTTATCTTTTTTCTTCTTCTTTTTTTTTTTTTTATAGCTTCACCTTTTGTGTTGCAAGAGTAGACTGTGTTGCCTAACAGAATTTGCATCGATTTAGAATAGGTTAGATGTGAAAATTAGCATCTTTAATAACCAGAAGCATTCTGATTAGGTTAGTGGGTGCTTTCTAGCTACTCCCTATTGTGATTCAATGTAATTGAGGGATTTGATGCTTCCCCAACCAAAAACCTGAGTGATCCAATGTGATGGTTGAGTATAATTGTTAGATACTTCGTGATTTAAGATTATTTTATTTATTGATTTTAAGATTATTTTATTTATTTATTTCTATTTTTTACACGTTAAAGGCTTAAATTATCCGGAAAGATACATTCTTATTTTAGGAAAGGGATAAAGACTCTCTGTTATGTAAAACAATTAGAAAGAAATGGCATGATTAAATTGAAAATGCAAAACAATAAAGTTGCTTTTCCATGTTACTTTTTTGATTGTTCAACTTCAACACATTCTTTTTATCTTACATTTATTCTTGGATTGTTTTAAAAAATGCACCTTTCCACTTGATTGAAGGTGGTTTTGGTTTGGAAAAACAAATGCTAGATGATACAAGATTCCCAAAAATGCATCCCGACTTACAGCAAAAGGTTCCCATAAAGGTAATGTAAAAAAATTTTTTCCCCTGACAGAATATTAAAAGCAATAATCAATTGAAAACATTTACACCATTGCAATAAACAATTAACCCAAATACTTTTTTTTTTGATAAATAACCATTAACTCAAATACAATACTTCCCCACCCCCATTAACCCCAAATCTAGCCACCAAATAGGCCTTATTCCAGCCTTCCTAACAAAGTAGATCCTGCAATCCATCAACAAACTCCAAGGCTGAATCATATCATCAAGAATAATAGCCACACTCTGGTCCATTTCCCTGTTCACATTAAACATATTCACCACACCCTGCAAATCAACTTCTACAATAATAGAAGGTAACCTCAACTCCCCAGCTATCCTTATCTCGTCCCTACTAGCCAGCACTTATATTGAATAAAACTTAAAACAAATGAGGTATAATGTATATTAATTAATTTAACATGTTTATGATTTAAATGTAAAAAATACTGCCACAAATGGTTCTCCAAAGATAGAAATATACATGATAGATGAAAATGTATGAAAATTTTATTTTTTTTATATTTATCTATCTATCTATCTCTTCTTCTTTTTTTAATGTTTCTTAAATACGAGCACGAACAAAAGTGATTCTCTAAAAATTGAAAATGCACATGAATAAATTAATGTTCATGGAGGTAGTTTTTTCCTCACCTAAATGCACCACATAAAATGGAGAGAAAAATTAGGGCAAAGATGAACTGTCCATCCTGCAATTTTGTTTCTGAGGCATTAATGCGCCCCGCCGCCTGATTTTTCTCATCGTAATCAGCCCGTTCGAGATCGCCATTCTGACGAGTCCGGTGGTAGTCCTTTGTAGACAAGGGTTCTGAAACAGTTGAGGGGAGTGTAGGGTCTGGATTTGAACATATGGCTTGTAGAGGAATTGGAGAACATCGAATGTAGGGTTAGGGTTTTGGAACCGATGACGAGAGTGGAGAAGACGAAGTAGACGACCAGTGAAGATCGGTGAAGATAATAGGCGAAGAGAGAGAGAACGGTGAGAGAGGAGGTGGTGGCGGCGGCAGTGGTGGTCGCCGGTTGCGCCACCAGAGGCGACGACGTAGGAGGCGGAAGAGATAAAGAGACAGGAGAGTGAGAGGGAGTGCTAGGTTAGGGTTTACCCTCTGTATAATATATCTATCTATCTATACTATTATAAAGTGAACACATAATATGGTGTCCTGAAACTTGTTTTACTCTACTCATGTCATGTGGCAGTCTTCTTTTTTATTTTTTAAAAAAAAAGTTAAACAAAGAGATGGACAAGGCTTGAACCCATGACCATGGGTTTAAGTATGAAGACTCATACCACTTAAGCTAAGTACACATTATAATATTAATTTCATTATTATTTTCTTTTATTCCTCTTTATTTAATTTGCACACACATCGTGTGTGCCCAACCGCTAGTAAAATAAAATTATGGATCTCTTCCATTACTAAAAATATAGGAGAGGGACCTTACACTAATTTTTTCATTATTAAATTTAAGTGTGTAATTGTATTGAATTAGAGGTAAAATGAATTCTTTTCGTGGAAAGAAGAGAGTTATTTTTATTATAAAAAAAAAAAAAAACTAAAATTAAAATTTAAAATGTGTGTTATCCTTGATGCATTAAAATTTATATGCATGAAAAAAAAACAGAAAGTTTTCAACAAAGCAAGTCAGAACATACCCAACAAGAAAAAAGCTTTGAAAGTTGGAAGTTTTATAACAAACAAGTTTTGCAGGAAAAGATGACAAGCGTGAGCCACAGGATTATATCCCTCTTTATTATTTTATTCACAATAATTGCAACTTGTAAGTGCGACTATTGGATTCCGATTCTATGGAATCACAGACTGCTATTAACCAACTGCCCTTTCTTTCTTTCTCAATCTTTTCTCCCTTCAGAAATTCCTGGGAAAATCATTCGAGAAAATGTCTGATTCCGAGGAAGAAAATCAGGATTTCTCTCCCAACTCAAGAGCGTTGATCACACCACCACCGCACACGGCGGCGGACATGGATCTCGATCTCGACGGTTCCTGGCCGTTCGATCAGATCTCCTCCAATCCGACGTCGCTGATTTGTCTACCGCCCTCCAACCAACCTTGCTCTTCTATGTGGTTTTTTCCCGATGATAACGCCCGAAGTACCACGTCAACGCTAGTCACAGGTCATCGTCTCTTCGATTGTTTTTGTTCTGAGAATGCCTAGTCTGAAATTCTATTGCTTAGATCGTTTTTTAGTCTAATTTCAGCTCATTTTTGCTTTGTATGAATCGATTTTCGATGAAGTTTTATTTAATTTTTTGTATATTTTTTTACTGTAATTAGGTTGTTTTGTGGTTCTTGTTGATTAAATAGGTTGCTTTATTACTAATTAAGAGCAAAATGGAGTATGAGACCCTATAACTTTCCTTAATTTGGTCTCTGATGAGAGCTTTGTAGAGTTATGTATTCATTTGAGTTTTTTCTTTAGGAACACACAACAGCGACAAAAGAAATTAGTTGGGGGTTGGTGGTTATGAATCTTTAATTTTGTTTTTCTTTTCTTTTTCTTCAGTTTCCAGACAACCAAACAAGTGAAACACCCTAGTAGATGCTTTCCCTTTTCCCTTCACTAGTCCTTTGACTTTAAATTTACATGCCTATATTACCTTTATAATTGCGGAATTATCCCCTTTATTATTTACTATTAAATTGATAATTTTTTACTAGATACGGGCAATCCTGATTCGATAAATGAAAGTCCGGCTGAAAGTGGTGATAATAGGAGGCTTCCTCCTCCACTGAGATTGACACGACTAGATTATCCAGATTGGTCTTGTGCCATTAAGGGAAGAATGGCACAAGCACTCCGATGTTTCAAAGAATCAACTGACCAAAATGTTCTAGTTCAGGTTTGGGCGCCTGTGAAGAGTGGGGATCGATATGTACTCACAACTTCTGGGCAACCCTTTGTTCTCGACCCACGTAGTAATGGGCTTTATCAGTATAGAATGGCCTCTGTGATGTACATGTTTTCTGCAGGTGGGGAGAGGGGCGGAGCCCTTGGGCTTCCTGGGCGTGTTTTCCAGCAAAAAATGCCGGAATGGACTCCAAATGTGCAGTATTACTCCAGTAAAGAGTATCCACGGCTTACTTATGCTCTGAATTACAATGTTCAGGGATCCTTAGCTTTGCCAGTTTTTGAACCTTCTGGGCAGTCCTGTGTTGGTGTATTTGAGCTCATCATGACTTCACCAAAGATTAACTATGCTCCTGAAGTTGATAAAGTCTGCAAAGCACTTGAGGTTGGTTCACCATCCCTTCTTATATAATGCAGGTCCAGTTTCATGTTATGTTCTATACTAAGCACCAAGTGATGTACGTGTCATTATAGGTATCCTTTTCAGAAATTGTGTTGCTTATTATGATTATTTATCAAATTTTGAATTATACTGCTCATGGCCCATGCATGGCTGTAGGTTTTGCAATTTCCTAAAAAAAAAAATCATAAATGTTTGATGCTAATATCACCCTACTGTGTCATTCCTAGATATACATGGTGAGTGTTTGAGAATGGTAGGACAATTCACTATGCTTTTATTATCATTGTCTTAATGATTTAGACGGGATGTTTGAAATTAGATAATTTAAACTCAAATTGGATACTTCAGGGATGAAATTGACGAAGTTAAAACTTTGGGCTCCAAAATGACATGGAATGCTTACTTTAGGGACCATATGTGTATTTTATATTTTTTTTCTCTCATGTGTTATGGTTGACACATCCAAACAATATTTCATTTCCGGTTATTGATTATGATATAAAATTATATGAATGTGAAAACAAATAATCGTGGAAGACTACTTTTTTTTTCCTTTTTTTGTGTGTGTGGGGAGGGTGATGGAGTGGCGTCAATTGTAATGTGCTACACAAGGAGTGGCCCACCTTCTGCCCATAACTCCCCAACTTGGATGAAGGCTGGATACAGTCCCAGGTCATGTCACCACTAATGATCCTATATTTTGATTTCAATATTTAAGAAATAGGCATGGGGTTCCAATTGCCCAAGTTCTTATGTCCTCTATTGAACATGTTTTTATTCATAAGAATCTTGGATATTCTTGTAATCATACTAATGCTAAAATCGCTGGAAGAAGCTCTTTCATTGTAATATTCTACAAGATTGCATATACATCATCTTTAACGAGTTTAATGTAGCCAGAGCTTTGTGTAAACGTTATTCTCACAACCTACTTTCTATATTTTTTTCATGTCTAGCTCTTCCATTAAAGCTTTCAAGATTCTATTTATCAAACAAAAAAAGGCTTTCAAGATTCCTTAGTTTACATAATTTCATTTTCTCTGCAGGCAGTAAATTTGAGAAGTTCAGAGATTTTGGATCATCCAAGCACACAGGTAAACAGCAACAATACTTTGAAGAGCCATTGTAGTGTTCTTTCATTTTGTATTCTCACATATTTATGCACTCCATTTACTTGTGAACCAGATTTGTAATGAAGGTCGCCAAGAAGCGCTGGTTGAAATCTTGGAGATACTGACAGTGGTGTGTGAAACTCACAAATTACCTTTGGCTCAGACCTGGGTTCCATGTAGGCATCGCAGTGTTCTGGCCTATGGGGGTGGTTTGAAGAAGACTTGCAGTAGCTTTGATGGAGGCTGCATGGAACAAGTTTGCATGTCCACAACGGATGTAGCTTTTTATGTTGTAGACGCTCCCATGTGGGGATTCCGGGAGGCCTGTTCCGAGCATCACTTACAAAAGGGACAAGGGGTTGCTGGGAGGGCCTTTGAGTCTCTCAACTCGTGCTTCTGTAAAGATATTACCCAATTTTGCAAAACTGAATACCCGTTAGTACATTATGCACGCATGTTTGGATTAACTAGCTCTTTTGCAATCTGCTTACGGAGCACTCACACTGGAAGTGATGATTACATTTTAGAGTTCTTTCTGCCACCTGACATCAGGGACAACAGAGAACAACATACATTGTTGGACTCAATATTTTTAACAATGAAGCAGCATTTCCGAAGTCTTAAGGTTGCTTCTGGTAAAGAACTTGAAGAGGAGGGGACATGTGTTGAAATAATTGAAGAATCAATGGATGAGAAACTTGATTCAGGACTTGAATCTGTTCAAATGTCACAAAGGTCATTATTTCCACCTGCCCCTAATACCTTACCAACTGGTCCAGAGATTGTACTTCTTGATTCACTGGAGGAGCAATTGAGGATTGAATCTGATGCTATAAACAATAAAGGGACTCAGGGGAGTGTTGGTGGGGCAGGCGGAGTCCAAAATGCTGTTTCTCTTCCAGAGCGTAAAGACACAAGAAAAAAATCAGAGAGAAAGCGTGGAAAAGCTGAGAAATCAATCAGCTTAGAGGTTCTACAGAAATATTTTGCTGGAAGTCTCAAAGATGCTGCAAAGAGTCTTGGCGGTAAGCATATACACTCAATAGTCATTTTCTTATCATTTGCTTGTTTCATTTCCACTTTGTTGGATTTTTGTTTTGAAGATGGAACTTTCTTATCAAGATACTTAAATTTACAGTTTGCCCTACTACGATGAAGCGCATATGTAGGCAGCATGGGATCTCTCGTTGGCCATCTCGCAAGATCAACAAGGTTAACCGTTCACTTTCGAAGCTAAAGCGTGTAATTGAATCTGTACAAGGTGCTGAAGGAGCATTTACTCTTACTTCGCTTGCTACCACCAGTTCACTTCCTGTTGCTGTTAGTCACATCTCGCAGCCTGCCAGTTTGAATGGACCCAATCTACAGAATTCAGCAGGCTCTAAACCAACTGACGTTGTGGAGGGGAAAAATGAATCAATGGCCTCTAAGATACCTGAAATTCAGGGACAGGCTGCAACAACAAATAAAATGCTTGGAGATGTTGTTCATGAGCAAAATGAGTTTATGCCCGAATTGGTCGAAGGCTCAAGCCAGTCCAAAACAGGGAGTTACTCAAGAGAGGAGAGTGCTGGGACCCCTACTTCCCATGGTTCGTGCCAAGGTAGCCCTTGTCCTGGAAATGAATCCTTGCCCCAAAACGATCTGGCTGTTATTCCTATTGATGAAACATACATAGTAGGCGGCTCACCTGAACTGGTGTGTCAACCAGCAAAAGAATTGAATTTCTCACCCTCATTTTCAATCCCCAATGCCCTTGCCACAATACAACCCCAAGAGCCATTTGGCGGAATGTTGATTGAGGATGCTGGAAGCTCACATGATTTGAAAAATCTGTGTCCTGGGCTTCTTTTGGATGGACAGGTCCCAGAATACGGTTTGACAAACCTGCGATGTTCTGAGTTGGTTCCTCGAGATACCATGGCTACTCCTACTGACAGAACGCCATGTTTTTCAGCCAGGCCAGAAATGAATACTGTGACCATAAAAGCAACCTACAGAGAAGATATTATAAGATTTCGGCTTTCTTTAGATGCTGGTATTCACAGACTGAAGGATGAAGTGGCAAAAAGGCTGAAATTGGAGATAGGTACTTTTGATGTCAAATATCTAGATGATGATCATGAATGGGTTTTAATAGCCTGCGATGCGGACCTGCAAGAGTGTCTGGATATATCAAAATCTTCAAGCAGCAATATAGTCAGACTGTCTGTTCATGATGTAATGGTCAATCTGGGGAGCTCCTGTGAGAGCTCGGAGGAATGAGAAAGAACTTGGTTGTAAATATGGTAACCTCCTAGCACCCTTCTTGTAGAGTTAGATTATAGGGTGAAGTTGTAGATTTTTGGTTATGGGGTAGATATTGTGAAATTTCGAATCTCTTCGAGATCAAGAAACAGGATTTGTTGAGTTGAAGGAAGAATTGGCAAAGAGGCTGGAGTCGGAGCTTGACGACTTTCAATGTCGAGTAAGAGTGGGTATTAGTAGCCTGAACTGTAGATCTACAAGATTGTGAAATTTGCAAGTTGGTTTGGGCAGTCAGTCAACTAGGCAGACTATTGATTTTTGAAAAGGTTGTCGATTCCAAGAACTTACTCAAAAGCTGTGGATTGAAGAAATAGATCAATAGATATGATAGGTAAGATGCTGCAATCTTATAGTGGCCAAGTTAGTGAGTACCTAAAAACTAGAGGTTTTGATGGTAGAAAATGTATATTGTTTTTGAGGTTAAGGTGGTTATCAGCAGTTCCATTTTCTGTCTTATATTGGTAACACTTGTATACCATATTCCCCCTCCTCAAAATAACAAAATCAAAAACACTTGCACATGTCAGCATGCTAATTTCATAATAATAATAATAAACATGTATTTTACATACAAGTCAAATTTAAATTTCATTTGTGGGTCTCACATGTGAGAGATAGAAAGAAGAGTTCCTGTCAAATTTTGACATTGAGAATAGCACACTAATTAAGATAAACTTCAAAGAATTCTTCTCAACTTTTAACTAAGCACGCCAGTGGAGTTGAGAAGAACCTCTATGCCAAAAAAACATGTTTAGAACCTGAACAAAGTAAGAAATACAAGTAATGTGTATACAAACAAATTTTAGGATAATTTGTTTCACATCAAATACCATCATTTTTATAGCTTATAATTTTAACGGTAAAATATACTACACCAAAATTCTTGATTAATCACATTGTTGATCTTAAAAATATCACTATCATTAGATTTATTTATAAAAATTTGATTTCCAGGATCATGAAGTAAATAGTTTTAAATATATCTATTTATGCTTATATATATATATATATATGAATGTTAGAATTAGTGTTGACGTCTTCCTTTTAAATTTTTTAAAAATATTTCAAAATCATATATGCAAAATGGGCAATGTCAACTTCTGACGTCTTCCTTTTAGATTTTTTAGTGTTGACGTCTTCCTTTCTTTCAAATCTCTCAACTTCTGATTTTTTCAAAATCATTTTAATTTTTGGATTTTGAATTTTATTGTATAGTTTATACTCTTTTTTTTTGAAATTAAGGGATCATATATGCATGCATAGCATGTGCCGTGACTTCTAATATATATCTATATTATTATATATGTGACTACATGACTTGGTATGTAATAATGTGATAACTTCTACATCTGCCACATGGCAAATTTTCCCATCATAAAATAAAAAAATATTATTTAAAGAAGTGAGTAAAATTCAAACTCAAGACCTTACTATTTAAACAGCATACATATTATGATATTAATTTCTTTACTATTTATTTTTATACTTATTTATCTAAATTACACACGCATTGCTTGTGTCACCTACTAGTATATATATATATATATATATAGGCAAAATGGGCAATGTCATTGCTTCTGGGTGACATTTTTATACTTCAAATTGACGAACAAGAAATTAAACTTTGATAGGGCTATTTATGGGCCTAGGCCCATTTAGGAAAACCAGATAGGTGTCCAAATCAAGTCCTGTGGATCTCAGAAGCTGCAGTGCTTATCTTTTCGGCCTCTTCTCCAGAATTGGTGGGCTCAGCCAAGCCCATCTCAATACCTTTGCCTTGCTTTTCCAACATCTGTTTCTTCGTGGATTTGTAAAATGTCGCATAGAGTATAAGCTGGGCCAACCCAAACAACGTGCCCAACCCATTAGGAGCCTGAAAATGAAGAACCATCGGCCCATTAAAGAAGGATGCAAGCTCAGATTTGCTTATCTAACTAGCTAATTAAATTGAAAATATTTTATATTCTAACAACAATGTCACCTTTACCAAATTTTCTTCACCCTTTTTTTTTTTTTTTTTTTTTTTTCACATGATAAAATAGTTTCACAAATATTCAACAGTAGTAATAGGCCTCACTTGAATTTGCTATATCTAAAATATATACTCCCTCCGTCCCAAAATATTTGTCTCTTATTTCATTTTTCATTGTCCCAAAATATTAGTTCCTCTTCAAAAATCAAGTACAAAAATAATATAAATTTCTTATTTTGCCCTTCTTTTAAATTAATAAACAATATAAAAAGTACAATTATGGCATTGATATTCTCAAAAAATGAACTATCCAAAGGCTAATTTTGGAAAATCAACTTTTTTTCAAATGCAATAATTGTACTATCAAAAAAAGTTGGATTCTCCAAAAGACCCCTTTTTTTTTTTTTTTTTTTTTTCACATGATAAAATAGTTTCACAAATATTCAAGAGTAGTAATAGGCCTCACATGAATTTGCTATATCTAAAATATATACTCCCTCCGTCCCAAAATATTAGTCCCTTATTCCATTTTTCATTGTCCCAAAATATTAGTCCCTCTTCAAAAATCAAGTACAAAAATAATATAAATTTCCTATTTTGCCCTTCTTTTAAATTAATAAACAATATAAAAAGTACAATTATGACATTGATATTCTCAAAAAATGAACTATCAAAAGGCTAATTTTGGAAAATCAACTTTTTTTAAATGCAATAATTGTACTATCAAAAAAAGTTAGATTCTCCAAAAGAGACCATTATTTTGGAACAGAGGGAGTATATAATTATAAATAAATAAATAAAAACTAAAACTTAAGAGGTGTAACATTATTATTAAATAGCAAATAAAAAATAAAAATAAAAAATGACTAGTATAACATCATTATAAAGTGCAACCATGAAAGGCAAAGATTGTTTCAATTCTTTCAATTGATTATACAACTAGGATAGGAAGATGATATTTTTTGTAATAGTTATTATGATAATGTATCATTTTGTGTCTCATAAAAAGTGGAATGCTCTCACATGTGAGTCTCACATCATATAGATCCCATTTTTAATGAAACATTTGTGTTCATTCTGTGCTTAGCACTATATGTGTACTTAGATTTTCGCAAATATAACCAGATAACTTCATGAGAGAGAGAGAGAGAGAGAGAGAGAGAGAGACTATAGATTACAGCGAGAAAGGGGTCAAAACGGATGAGCGCATAAGTAGTCCAGCAAATGCCATTAGCACAGGATAAGAACACAAACAGCGACAAGATTAATGGCATGTACTCCACACTTTTTGTCGAAATTACCATTCTCTGCATTCCCAAATTTTAGATTTTGTTAATTGTCAAGTTATTAAACAAATTAAAGAGCAATGCTATGGTCCTACCTACCCACAATTGGTACATCCAAATTTGTACCAAATATATATAAAAATTAAATTCATTTTAAATTTAGATGAAAAATGCTATAGACCTCAAATAATCTACAAAACCTTTCACATGAGTGTGGAATCCACACAAACCCACATGTGTGTAGGTCCCACACCAATGTGAGAAATTTGATAAAAAATTCAACAGCTTATTTGGAATCCCTAATATAACTCAATTTAGATCCCACCATAGCACATTAAATTTCGATATATTTCAAAATTTGTAATAATTGAATTTGTCCTGAAAACAAATGGGCTCAAGTAATTTTCTTCACAAATTAAGTAGAGTGTGTGAGTTGATACAGGCATTTGTGATAATTGAATTTGTCTCGAAAACAAATGGGCTCAAGTAATTTTCTCCACAAATTAAGTAGAGTGTGTGAGTTGATATAGGCAATGGACTATATGGTTGGACATTCAATTGAAGAGGTATTGTTCAACCACAATGGATTTATTGTAAGGCCTATTTAAATCATTCATGTTGTAAGATTTATTGAACAGTACAAGTATAAAAAAAATTAAAATAATTATATATCGATAATTATATGATTAAATCATATTTATCTTGAAAAAATGGACAACATATTTTTTAAATCAAAGTTGTGGTCCATATATTTTTAAGATAAACATCATTTGATTATATAATTAATGATATTTAATTAATTTAATTTTTTTACGTAAATAATATGCAAATTAAATCTTACAAAATGATGGATTGAGATTAGACAATTAACTTGACAACACATCTACGGTTGGGCAACATGAGAGAATCTATCCATTTTCATGATACATGTCTGATGTATATACGTCATCATAAACACAAAAGACAAATGCTATTAATGAAGGTAGTATTTTTTTTAAAAAAAATTATAATTCAATAAAAAAAGAATTACAAATTTATAAAAAATAAAAAATAAAAAAACTTTAAAATTTTAATTATTAATATTTATGAAATTTATATCTAATCTATTTTTTATTTTTAAACTTATACTAAAATATAATGTCCCTTATATAAAATAACGTGATTTCTTGGATTAATCAAAATATCTATTATTATCGATGGTGAGAGAGAGAGAGAGAGAGACAAACCATGACGGACAACGGGGAAGCATACATCATAACATTACCAAGCATGGCCACACTTCCGACAATGAGCGACCGGAGCTTGGTGGTGTGAGCCAGAGTCATAACCAGAACGCCGAGGGCGCCGAGTACTACAAACTCACCCAGTATTATCAGTAGCACTCTCAGTCTCTTTCCGATCGGTGTAGGTGAGGAAAAGGAGGAGATAAACTAGCTCTATCACCAAGCCTGACCCATTAATGGTTATGACCAGCAAGCTATGTGGGTGCACCATGGGCAGTCCATACAGGACCCAGAGTCCACAGTTGATTAGGGTTGCTAGGTATGGGGCTGCTGAGTACTGCTCAACTGACCCTTTCTTGCATATTTGAACAAAAGTTGGCCTGAATAATCAAATATATCATTTTTGTATTATTACAAAAGTGTATTAGTAAGATCTCCTTTTAAAAATTTTATTGATCACTTGCATACAATAAGATAGGTAACACATGAATTGATAAGATTTTAGAAAGTAAGTAGGGTTCACTTTATAAAAAAAAAAGTATTTGTAATTGGGAGAGTAATTGGTGTGCGACTAAATTTTCGTTCAATACATTCTCATAATCTGAGTTCAATGATGGCATTTAAATGCGACATCCCTTTTGTATAGGGCTGGGACACAACAAAACTAGTTGACCACTAATGAGTCAGGTTTTGTTCACACATTTATGTAAATAATATATATATATATATTTAATTGGTGTAAAATGACAGAGTCTATCTTGAACCAATTATATTTTGTATATTATTTACACATTAAAAATGCATGTGAATAGATTTATTTTCACCACCGAGATAATGTCAAAAATCTAGGATTACCCTTTCATCCCGTTTGGAATGGGCCATTTGAATTGAAAAGAAAGAAATGAAAATTAGTTAGCATTAATTAATTGTTTGGATTTAGTAAATGCAAAGAAGAAGAAAAAATTAGATGAGTAGTTTTGATATTACGAAAAGCTATAGCTGTTTCTTTTCTCACTATCCAAGTTAGGTATTATAAAAAGAAAAGACTTTGATAGAAGTTATTGTGATAAAGATAATGTTATACATAGAAGAAAAATGTAGGTTAAATTAATGGATAATAAATTGATAAAATTTAATTTTATCATTTAGTGAGTGCTAAATTTTACAGATAGATGTAAGCTAAAGAGGTGGGGCTCGTATGTGAACCCCACATATGTGGGACTCACCTCTTCACATCCGTATGTGTTTGATTTTGTAAATTTTTTCCGTGTCATTAAACTTTTTATTATTATTTTTAATAAAAGAAGACAAATTAAAGTAATTTATATTTTTGAAAATTTTAATGTCACGTCATTATTTCAATAAAACATAAGAAATCTTTCTTTCATTTTCTATTTTGTTTTTTGTTGTGAAATTTAAGCAAACAAAATAGAGAAAAATTATTTCTATCAATCATTTCTCTCCCAAGCAAAATAGAGATAAATGTTAAAAAAATCTAGGCTTGTATCACTTCCCATAAAAATTTGAAGTAGAGCTTACACTGGTGACATGAACAAGATGATTGAAATGATGTTTCCTGAAACAAAACAAAACCACATCAGTTCCCCATTACATCAAAAGACAAAACCCAAAACATCTCGCTCACTCATAGAAGTTTATGTGTAATGTAAATGAAAGTGTTAAAAAAAGAAAAAAGAAAAAACATGTTCATTGTGTTTGTAAAAAGATCAAATTAACTCATCCACGTACCTAAAACACCGACGGCGGTTCGAGCGGCATCTGTAGAAACCATGGCTGTAAATTGGAATATGAGAGAGAGAGAGAGAGAGAGAGAGAGAGAGAGAGAGATAGAGGTAAAGATAGAGAGGAAGAAGAGTTTGTTAAGAAGTAGGGTAGTGAAAGACAGAGTAGATAATAAATATATTAAAGGAGGCAATAGAGGTTCGGTTTGGTCTTATCTCATACAACAACTAGTAGTATCTATATATACACAATCGGGCACCTGCATAACATGTATTCGGCAGTAACATTTCACAGCTACACTCGGAAATAAATCAATTAATGAATATAGATAAGGATATAGGATATATAATCCAAAGATCTCTTGTCCTCAAAAATTTCTGTCCTCGTGTCTCAAGTCACTTACAACTTTTAGATTGTTTTAAAATTCTTAAGTCTTGAAATTATCAAATAATTTAATAGTTGTGAGTGATTGGAGACAAAGAGACCTGAATTTTTGGGAAAAAAAAATCCTTGCTCGGATATATATTCGAGAGAGAGAGAGAGAGAGTCAATGAGTGGGGTTGGGTTGGGTGTTGGCACTGGGTCCAAGGTTTCTCACAGGTTTCAGACAACCAGCCAAGCCACTGATCCATTACAGTGCACGTTACGTTGGCATTTCTCAGGTAGCAACCCAATCAATTTACAAGAATTTACAATTCATTGACACATTCATAAAATAATTTTACATACATGAATTTTTTTTATACTTTTAATTATTTTTTTAAAAATTAATTGTAATATCCCCATTAATTTACAATTTATAGTCAATTTTTTACTACACTGCATCCATATAAAGTAACTCCGTAAATTCTTATTATTTTTAATTTACTTTTTAATAAGTTTAAAATAATATTCAGTGTGTTTGGTTTCAATTTTCTAAAAATTAAGTTTTTTATTTTTCATATTTTTTTGTTTTTAGTGAATATTTTTAAAATTTTAAGCAATTCTTTTACTTTTTTAGATACACATTACTTAGATATATCTAAATAGTAAAATATTTGTGAAAAAATAGATTTTTTTCACAAATATTATACTTTTTAAAAAATCATTGAGAACAAAAAAATAGGAAAAATAAAAAAGTAGAATTTTTTAAAAGTGTTTTCTAAAAACCAAAACTAAACAAATTGATTATTATTATTATTTTTTTAAATGCGGGACATGAAAATTTTGCACTCATTTTTAATCTGTTAACAACATATTTTTTAATTTATGTTGTAAGTGATATAGCGGTACTCAATCACCATAGTTATTGATGTGAGAAAAAATATTTATATGTATACATGTGAACATTTTGTTCCACGTCAATTATTTCGGTGATCGAAACTTTCACAAGTGATACGATGTAAAGTTGTGCCAATGCAAATTTTATGGTAAAAAGGTAGTTAGAAAATCAATTTAAAAATAAAAATAAAGTCAATTTTTTCGGATAATTTTCCCAATCCATAATAGAGATTGTTACATTTATACGCGGGCGGGGTTGTTAAAAAATTATTAGTGATGGTTTATTGGATAACTATGAAGCGATCCAGACCATTTGTTCCATCAAATTGTGAATCTTGCTGATCGATAGTCTGACAGGTTGGTCATTATTAAGATATGTGCTTGTCATTCATTTGGTGCTGCAAATCACCATTTATAAGATTTGTTTAAAAATTAAAAGAGAAATACTATTTTCACAGAATATGTGTGCAGAATACGTATAAATTTTTATATATGTGTGGGTCTCATTTATCATTTTATATATAGATTTTCTATATACATAATGAGAGGGTAATTTATGTATATAAATTGGGCCGAGTTGGATGTTGGGCCGAGATAGGTCCAAATACGAAAGACAGTGGATACACCGGTCAAAAGGAGTACTACGGTTAGTTCGGTTGTCAGATAGGCTTTGGGGTAGCTTGGTTGCGGCATATTACGGATTAGCCCGGTCATCTCCTCTAACCAGAGTGAGAGAACTTCAGGGAAGTTTGAGTTAGTTCGGCTTGACACTGGTTTCAGACAACCAGCCAAGCCACTGATCCATTACAGTGCACGTTACGTTGGCATTTCTCAGGTAGCAACCCAATCAATTTACAAGAATTTACAATTCATTGACACATTCATAAAATAATTTTACATACATGAATTTTTTTTATACTTTTAATTATTTTTTTAAAAATTAATTGTAATATCCCCATTAATTTACAATTTATAGTCAATTTTTTACTACACTACATCCATATAAAGTAACTCCATAAATTCTTATTATTTTTAATTTACTTTTTAATAAGTTTAAAATAATATTCAGTATGTTTGGTTTCAATTTTCTAAAAATTAAGTTTTTTATTTTTCATATTTTTTTTGTTTTTACTGAATATTTTAAAAATTTTAAGCAATTCTTTTACTTTTTTAGATGTATATTACTTAGATATATCTAAACAGTAAAATATTTGTGAAATAGACTTTTTTCACAAATATTATACTTTTTAAAAAATCATTGAAAACAAAAAAATAAGAAAAAAAAAAGTAGAATTTTTTAAAAGTGTTTTCTAAAAATCAAAACCAAACAAATTGATTATTATTATTTTTTTAAATGTGTGACATGAAAACTTTGCACTCATTTTTAATCTGTTAACAAAATATTTTTTATTTTATGTTGTAAGTGATATAGCGGTACTCAATCACCATAGTTATTGATGTGAGAAAAAATGTTTATATGTATACATGTGAACATTTTGTTCCACGTCAATTATTTCGGTGATCGAAACTTTCACAAGTGATACGATGTAAAGTTGTGCCAATGCAAATTTTATGGTAAAAAGGTAGTTAGAAAATCAATTTAAAAATAAAAATAAAGTCAATTTTTTCGGATAATTTTCCCAATCCATAATAGAGATTGTTACATTTATACGCGGGCGGGGTTGTTAAAAAATTATTAGTGATGGTTTATTGGATAACTATGATGCGATCCAAACCGTTTGTTCCATCAAATTGTGAATCTTGCTGATCGATAGTCTGACAGGTTGGTCATTATTAGGATATGAGCTTGTCATTCATTTGGTGCTGCAAATCACCATTTATAAGATTTGTTTAAAAATCAAAAGAGAAATACTATTTTCACAGTATATGTGTGCAGAATACGTATAAATTTTCATATATGTGTGGGTCTCATTTATCATTTTGTATATAGATTTTCTATATACATAATATTGGTAAAATTGAGATTGTGTTATGATACTCAATAAAAAAACAGAAATGAGTTAATGTCGATATCTTTACACATATGTAAATTGATTAGAACACATAATATGAATGAACAGACTTATCACCAAACTATTTTACAATTGATAAATCTCTCACCAATAAAAAAATATCTATTGAATTTAATATTTTATACCTTTTTAGGTTGAGCTTTTCAAGAATTTTCTCTCTTCGTATTTGGTATTTCATTCCTTGATTAATATCAAATAAAAAATGGTGTTAAATTAATTAACTTGCCATATGTTCAACTATAATGAGGATCAAGTCAATTTTGAATCCATTGACTTATATTTCAGCCACTCATCATACAAATAAAAATATTATATACAAAAAATTATAAAATTATGTGAAGATAGGTTTATTTAACAAAGTTTTTGAGACATTTGTTAAAACATTTCAAATGATTGCACATTTCTGTTATAAAAGTAAAGGGTTCGTTTGGAGAGTGAGTTGGCTTTTTAGTGTTTTTAGTTTTTTTTTTAGCTTGAGATTAAAAAGTCTTGTTTGGAAAAGATTTTTTGGTTTTTTTGACTTTTTATGAGAAAAAAAATGTAATGATTATGAGTTGAATGTGATGCTTTGTCTTATTGAACTAAAAAGCCTATTTTATTTTTTTGTGATTATTTTAGCCAAAAAATCCCTAAGCAGCTGAGAAATATAATATTTTGGTAATCAATGTTTCGAGCACTTGTTAAATAAACTATCAACAATTATTCAATAATATTAGGGATCATAAAAAAAATATCATGAAATGTTTCATGAAGATTTTTCATCCTTTGATTAGTGTGTGGTGTTTTTTTATATGTATAATCTAACGGTGGAGAATTTTTTATGATCATTTTCATGATATTTTTTTCATGATACCTGGCATTAAGTAAGCAAAAACCCATCTGAAATGGTATTTGATAAAGTTAAAAATTAAAAATTAATTATTGAAAATTGAATATTAAATTTGTTAAGTTAAAAAGTTATTTGATAAAAATTTAAGTGCTGAATGAAAAATAAGTTTGATATGTATAAGATCAAATTTAAAATTTATTATTTTAAAATTGTACATTTTAAAATTTTGAATAAATTATAAATACACCTCCTGAGATTTGAATAAAATACGAATCACTCCTTGTGGTTATGGAAATTACGTTCCACCCCTTGAGATTTTTAATTTTATAACAGATCGTCCTTTTTATTAATGAATATTATTACTAGGGATGTAATAATGAGAATCCAAGTCTAAATTCATAAAATAAATTTATTTACAAATTTTTTGATCATGTGAGCAAAATATAAGATATAATGGTCTAAAAATATAGATTTCATATTTAACAATGTATTGATCCGATTTAAAATTATAAATTTAACTATTTTGTATAATCAAAAAGTATATATTATTCATTAAAAAAAATTGGGATGTTGGGTTGTGACTATTTTAGCCTATGTTTGGGATGTTGGGTTGAGACTATTTTAGTTATAAAAAGATAAAATAGACTAAAAAGTTAATAAGATAAAATGTCACATTCAAACTATAATTATTTTATTTTTTCTTTTACAAAAGTTAAAAAAATCAAAAAGCCATTACAAACGAGACTTTTTAGCCCCAAGCTAAAATAGCCAAAAAGCTAAAAAAAACTAACCCATATCTCAAACGAAGGCTTTATAAGTGCATGAACAAAATTGAATTTCAAAATTCACACTTTAAACCAATTTGAGCTCTATTGAGAGCGTAGCATGGTTTAGTTGTCTAAGGTGCTGTTTGGTACAACTTATTATAAGTTAAAAATTGATAATTAGAAAGCAGAAATTAAAAGCACCTCTTCCCCAGCTTCTAAATAATCAACTTTTTTTAGCATATTTAAGCTATTTCTGTCTAAAAAGTTATAAGCAGAAGCTACACCAAACACTGGTCCCGTTTGGTAGAACTTATAAGCAGCTTATTTCAGCTTTTAACTTAATTTAAGCTAAAAACATGTGTTTGGTTCAGCTTATTTGACCAACTTATAGCTTAAATAAAGCTAATTTTCAACTTATTTGAGAAGTTGGTCAGGGAATGCTTATTATTTGTGCTTAAGCGCACAACTGCTCTATTGGGGGTGAAATGACTTAAATGTCCCTCCTAATCTCCATTATTTACGAAAATGCCACTATATAAACAACAATGAAAACACTGTTCACTCCTCTCAAAGAGTGATTGGCGATTTCTGGCGTGGTGCTCTCTTTCTCTCTTTCTCTCTCGATGAAGATGAAGATCTAGGTTGCTCGATCTGCAATCTCACTCGATCTGATGAAGATCTGGGTTCTCTCTCTCGATCTGCAATCTCACTTTCTCTCTTTGCGCATGGTTGGGTCAATAGGGTTTGGAAGCGCGATGGTGACGAGGACGACGACACGACGGGGTCTGGGTTGCTCATTGATGAAGATGAAGATCTGTCGTCATCTTTCTCTCTCTCTCTCTCTCTCTCTCTCTCTGTGTTTCTCACGAACCAGTTCCAGATCGTAAACGGTGACGACGGCAAATGAAGATGAAGATAGGGTTTGAAAGCGCGATGGTGAGCGTTGTCTTTCTCTCGTTGATGAAAATGAAAATCTCCGACGTTGTTCAAGCGGGTGAACGCTGACAAGCGACAACACTCTCTCTCTACCGTTCCAGGTCATGGCAGTGGCGAGGGTTGCAGCCACCGACGGCGTACGAATGGCTCATGAAGGAAGAGAAGGGAAAAAAAATTAAATAAATTAAACAAAAATAATAATTAAAAACAAAATAATAAAAATAATATTGAACAAAATAAATTAAACAAAATAAATTGAAATAAAAAAAAAAAAATTAATCAAAATAATAATTAGAAACAAAATAATAGAAATAATATTGAACAAAATAAATTAAACAAAATAAATTGAAATAAAAATAAAAAAATAAATTAAACAAAATAATAATAAAAATAATTTATTAATATTGAAATAAATTGTGCAATTTATAGGCATTAAATAAATTACACAATTTAATTGTAATGAAAAAGAATAATAAATTAAAAAAATAACAATTGTTATATTATTAATTGTAATAAAAAAAATTTAATAAAAACAGAATCAGAAAATTTAATAACAATTGTTGATTATTGTATATTTTTATAATGAATTAATTATTAATTGATACAAATTAATAACAATGGTTGATTATTAATATTATTTGATACTAATAAAAATTAATTATTAATATTAATTAATACTAATTATATTAACTTTTATTAATGAAATAATTTTTTTAAATTAAAATTGAAAAAAAATGGCAAAATTATCATTTTTATATCATATAAGGGCAAAAAGGTCAATTACACAGAAAAAATTATTTTACAGTTTATTTACCAAACACTATTCTGCTACTTAAATCTATAATCCCACAACTATACTAAACAGGTTACCAGCTTATGCTCACAGCTGTAAGTTATAATCTGTTAAACTATAATCTATAATCACTTTCCCACAACTCTACCAAACTGGCCAATGTAGCATAAATTTCTAAATTAAAATAAGTTATAATCACCCCATAATCCGCACCAAACATCCCCTGTATGCACTTCTCCTATGTTGGGACCAAGTTCAATTTGGTAGTGTTGGTCTATAAAACTCATTGCCGTTGTATTTTTAATACTGTAAATTGTTTATTTTTTTAAGTTTTTGTATATAGATTATTCATAAATAAAATAAAATAAAAATGAACTCAACCCAATAATATAATTAAATAATTTCATCAGATTTGTTTACACAAAAATGTACATCTATTCTAAATTCATAC